TGATCTGCCTCGTCTGGGAAGAGCGCAGTGATGGTGCCAACTTGGGCCAGTGAAGCAACATCCTCCACAACTAGACTGAAGAACAAAAATGACAGCAACTTGTCTGTTCCCCTTCCCCCAAGTCCCCAGTGCTGTTCCCATCCCCCAATTCCCCAATTAAAAAAAAAAAGAATGCCTACAAAATATTCTGAGTTTTAATTCAGTTGCCTCATCTGCAAAACATGGAGGTTCTGTTGAATAATCATTTTCCCCGACTGAGACAGTCAAAATCTCAAGAATAAATGTGACCTTCAAATGCATGTAACCCAACCTCTCACTATATGCAGGGAGATTCTCAAATTTTGTCCCAAGTGGTCACACACCACTAGGTATCACTTCCAAGAGTATTTTCATCTTTCAGCAGTTCTTAAATTTGTTTCTCCATTAATTACAACTACTATCAAAAGCAACAGAAACCAATTATTCCTGACTCCATAAGCAATCTAAAAAGACCATCAAACCCTCCATTTTTCAGGAGTTGTCTCCCACAATCTAAATAGCTCTAATGCCTATGATGTTTCTCATAGGCTCTTAAGTTGAAATCACACTCTGTATCCTGAATGTTCTCCTCTGGCCCCCTCCCAGAGAGCTGCTCTGAAAATTGAAACAAAACCAGCAGGTGGAACAGGATTCTTACCTCTCTGATTCTAAACATTTGTAGTGAGAGCACAACCAGTTAGCTCTATATTGGAGGGTTTGAAGGTCTTCAATGGATACATATCTTCTAAACAATCAGCACTGAGTCCCTAGAAGCTTGCAAGATGGAGGAAGCACTTCTAAATGGGAAAGGGGAGGGATGCTGACAGCGCTAAAAATAAATGACTTACTACATAACTTCCCTAATATTAGCTATCACCTCTGTGCTTACAAAACACAGGGACATTCTAAATAGTGCAGGCTCCTAGGGCCATGTGGGAAAAATGGTAACATCATATCCACAAATACATTTTATGTCACATTCTGTATTGAAGAGTCTAGTCTATGTAGATAACATCTGTACTTTTCCCACCAGAATGTCAGTTTCTCAGACGTTTGCCTGATTCTTTCAGAAACTAGGAAATAAATATTGAAGATAATCAGTGGAATAGATACACACAAACAATACTGAAGACCTGAATAAAAGGAGAAACATACCATATATGAGAAGAGTATAAAGACGATAGCTCTCCAAAAGTTAACCTATACATTCGATGCCATTCCAATTTCAATTCCAGTGGTATTTGTAGTGAGAACTTGACAAGTTTCTAAGGGTCTCCTGGAAGAATAAGTACATGAAAATAAAGAAATGTTTTTAAAAGAATGAAGGACTTGCTTTACTACAGTTGTTACTCAAAACTAGGCATGTAGGAAATGACAGCAGCCACATTATCTAATCATAATGCAATAAAACCATTTTTTAAAAGAAAAAGTAGTTCAAACCAGAGGTCCTCACAGTAAATAACTATTGGGTCAATAAAATATAAATTACAATATAAATTATAAAATATAACATACTAATTTACATAATAAAATATAAATTATATACTAAACATTTTGGGATAGCAAAAATATGTGAACAATGGCCAAAAACTTGCCAAATTTGATGAAAAAAATATTAATCTGTATATGCAAGAAGATCAATGTATGCCAAAAAGGATAAACTCAAAGAAATTCAAATCTAGACTCATGATAGTTTAATTGTCCAATTGACTTCAGAATCTTGAATGCAGCAAGAGAAAAACAACTTACCAAGTTCAATGGATCCTCAGTAAGTTAAAACTGATTTCTCATCATAAATCATAGAGACCAGAATATAGTGATATGATATATTTAAACTACTGAAGAAAAAACGAATGTTAACTGAGAATTCTGTATCCAGCAAAACGAGCCTTGATAAATGAAGGAGAAATTATGATATTCCCAGATAAACAAAAATCAAAAGAATTCAGTACTAGCAGACATGTCCTACAAGAGATAAAAAACGGAATTCTTTAGGCAGAAACGAAAGGATGCTAGACAGAAACTCACATGTACATGAAAAATAGAAGACGGATAGAAAAAGATACTTTATGAAAATGAAAACAAACAAACAAATCTGGGTTAGCAATATGTATAGCAGACAAAATAGACTTTAAAACAAAGGCTATATAACAAGAGACAAAAAAGGACATTCCATAATGATAAAGGGATGAAGCTAAAAGGATGTAATTCGAAAACATGTCAGCTTATAGGGCATGTACTTACTGGGCAATGTTACATTTAACCAAAAACTGCAACACAAGTACAATAAAATATATGAAATAACAATATTGGAGATTTTGGAATAGTACATTAAGCCTTTAACAATTTACTCCCTCAGACATTTTTCATATATGGAGTAATGTTTTCCTGTGAGATTGACTGGTTTTAGGAGAAACACACCATCTCTGATATGTGATGTAAAAAAATCATCCGTATATTTCTGGTTTGCTAGTGAAATTTAAAAATTGGTAGTGATAAACCAGAATAATTAAACTAAAAAGTAGGGATACTGAATTAAACAAATTCTACATCAGCACTACATTATACTGCACACAAACATCAATGCCAAACTTTATGAGCTAGAATTTGTCATTGCACAAAATCAAGAAATAAAACAAGTGCCCTTGAAATTCCTCAAATGAATTTTTGGCTCAGTAGTAGTCTTCAGGTTGCGGGTTTAATACTCTGTCAGAACCAAATTTGTGATGCAGGCCATGCCACATTGTTTGAAGAGGGCGACATGTTGTGGACTAATGAGGTACTACAGGATATAGAAAGAAACCTGGTGTCCACAAGATGGAGAACCTTGAAATACTTTTTGACAATGAAGGAAGCTGCAGAAATTTGGTGGCCGACGTCTAAACTTATAGGAAAACAGCCACTGTTACATACATAATAATTACACTGACCTACTTTTAAAATGCCGCTCACCTGAGTTAATTGGAGATAAAATTAACAACATTAGAATCGAATAAACAGCTTTTATGAAGACTGAAATATTTCTGGCTCTTTAGTACTATCATTTTGTAATCTTAATGTAAGTTCCGTATGACCCGGTTTCTGATGGGAATGGTAAACCTAACATATCCAAAAGGCGTTGTGTTTTGGGGTAAATTGAGTAACGCTGGCTTTCCATTGTTTCCTTTTTGTCCACTAAACTGCAAAATCTGGGTGAAGCTTTCTTGTTTTTACGAGTGAAAACCCCATTCAACATGTTATGTTGGACCTACAGTAATTGGCAAGACTACATATCGCACAACCAAAGTGAGCTATAAACACGAAAATCACACTACCAATATATACCTAAACCTACGAGTATTTATTAAAATTTAAATGTGTAATAATAAAAGCTCAATGATCTTACAATATATTAGTGACTCAACATGGCGGAATCAGATGGTAACGCTACTGGAAAATTGGTAAACAAGTTGTGATAGCTCGTTATTTGGCAAAGGGCGCCATCGGGTGGACAAATTAGGTACTGCATAGAGCTATCATAACGGTTACCTTGTGTCCACGAGATGGCGCCAGATTCCCACCAAGCAATATTTCTGATTCTGTAGCACAGCTGGCACCAGTTTCAGGCATTCACGTTAACTTCAAATCATCTAAATCCCCAAAGGGCAACGATGAATATGCCAATTGGGTAGCATACCATTGTGAATTAGCTCCAATTTGTCCGCAGTTCAGGGACAAGTCTGGAAAGACCTGATACATTATAGCCTATGAAAACTCCATGCAATTACCATAGATTTAATAAGCAGTGGAAGTAATAAAATGGCCATAAGACAGTATTGAAGCTAACAGAATCCGGCATATACTTATGACTAAATTTACCCATACATACTTTTGCCTGTCAAAGGTCCTTCAGAACAAAAATTCGAGTGGAAACTTGGCACCTGCTAAAGTGAGGCCGTGGGGCCCACCGGCTTGGGACGCCAGAGGGCCCCGGTTCGGATCCCACATATGAGGGCCAGTGACACTACCCTCTACAGCTAAGATGCTCAACAACAGCTCAACCTGGAGCTGGGCTGCCATGAGTCGCTGGCGACGGTGTAGGCTGCAGCCCCTGCTGCAGTGGGTTGCCATGGGCTACCGTGTGTAGCCAGCAGCCAGCGTGAGTGGCCGTCCAGAAGCCGGCGGCGACTGATCTGCCTCACTTGGGAAGAGCACAATGATGGTGCCAACTTGGGCCAGTTGAGCAACGTCCTCCACAACTAGATTGAAGAACAAAAGGACACCAACTTGTCTGTTCCCCTTCTCCCAATTTCCCAATAAAAATCTTAAATAAATAAAAATTAAAAAAAAAAAGTGAGGCCGTGTGGACAAATTTAGTAGAAAAATACCAAATAGTTGCCTATCTCTGGAACAGTGCAGAATCTAAAAGTTAGAAATATGCCAGGATACTCATTATCAATACGGGGTATAGAGTAATGTAAAATTACTTGCAAATGACAATAGGAATGAATCCAATGCATGCATGACACATTCAGCATCAAGAAGCAATGGTCACTGGTATACAGATACCCAAACTTAGTGTAAAAATGTTACACCACCAAATGCCTTTATTACTGAATTGCTGGTTCCCAATGCTGCATGTAGTGCAGTAGGAGGAGAAATTTTCTTCAAATCAAGCTAATAATTTTAAAGGATGACACTGTGAGGACAAATTATTATAGAAGATCCACGGTAATGGGTCTTTTTGTCCAAAACAAGCACCAAATTTGATAAGTCTCATGAAAGACATGATGGGCAACGGGAAAGTTGAGATGAAAATCACTCGCCCAAAATGCACATAGATTCCTAAGGATATGGAAATCAGTTGTAGCAAATTTTCTTTTAAAAGTCTATTGTGCTGGCAGAGAATTGAGGGATGCTAATGAAATGCAACTGGAAAATACCCTGAGAAATTGGCAGGTAACGACGCCCCTGAAGGGACAACAGAGTAGATAGGGCACTCCATAAATTTGTCCTGTTATTTGCAAGTCGATAGGCAGCGCCAACAAATACATGGTAGACGACTGTTATATAACATTAGCAACATGACTTAACACAAATATGATGACGTATAGTTATCCAGGCTTGCGGTACCATCAGTGTCCATTTACGAGGCCAAATTTCCCACAGAAAACTAATATCCAATAGTATTGTTTCACTACAAATTTCAATTAGTGGGTATTTTAAGTGGGTGCCAATTGGGCAACTTGATTGCATCGCCTATTTGCACTGGATGGAAATAAACGACCCAAATAGCTAATGGATTTCTAAGTGAAATTAAACACTGCACCTAAAAACATGACTGGTAACATCACTGTAAGTATATATGTGAGTATGAATATTTACTTCCTAAAATCAAAGGCCCTTAAGATGCAATGTGTTTGTTAGTGAGTGGCAAAATGCTAAAATTTTACTAAGTCTAAACTTTGTAACTGAAGACTGCACCAGATTACCAAGGGACAGGGCTGTGCAATTACGTATGAAATATGTCCTCGCTTCTCATGTGTCCATAGAGAAACTGAAATTGGAATTCATCACAACTGAATGCACAGCAGAGAATCCATTTGCTGAATTTAGCTGCCAATTAATTGGGTGTTACATCCTGTCTGAAAAATCAAACAAGCTATAAAAATAACATACCAGCATGTGTAAGATTTTTTTCGGGACAGCATTTCCCCAGCACTGACTGTCGCTAATGCGACAATAAAGCAGTGTCTACAGGAGCTTCCTTAGGAGAGGCAAGTGGACAATTAGAAAAGGGCATCAACATGCTTTCAAGAAACCAACACTCCAAAGACATTTATCAAAAACGGCTAAGAAAGCTTACCTGCACTATTAGTGTAGGGAATTGTCAGCATAACCTTGACTTTATGGAAATTTAAGTCATATGGCCTAGACAGAATGCTTAAAAGGAATAGCAATGGCTAATGACAGTATTAATAGAAACTCACTCTGAAAATTCAACCAAGCCCTTCAGGGGATAGTTGAGAAGCACAGCATTCAGAGGCCCCCCACTTGACTAAGACAGAAAGTGCTAGAGCTACACTAGACCTTCCTGTCCACTAATAGGAAAAATGTCCTTAAAGCAGTGCCGAGAGATGGTATTGCCAACATATAGTTCCCAAAGGGCACTACAGTGACAAAATTGTATCAGAGCCTTTTCAGGTAGTAACGACATGGAAGATATGCACTGATACTAATTAGGCATCAACGAATTTCACTGCCTACATGACATTGTTGCCATTCTGATTTCTTCTTTGTGCTGGGTGTGGATGGGGGGCTGCGAGGTCCTAGGAAGAGGCTTTGTGTGGATAGGGTGTAGGACGGACTCTAGAGAGACCTGTTTGTAGTTCACATGCCAGGTAGCAATGGCAGCAAACCGACCTTACCTTCTGAAGATGACAAATCTTCTGCGCTCCTCCGGATGACTGAAACAGCTCAGCAGGAAAGTGTATTCATGAATCCCACCCACACTCCAAGGTCACAGCGAAAAGAATTTATTCCCCCACCCATTTTGTGGAGAGCTGCCCATACTAACAGCAATGCTTTTCACTTTAAAATGCTTTTTTTTTTTCTGGAGTCTAAAATGGATGAATCGGAAGTCAGTTTTATTCCCACCTTTGCCAGCATGTCATTTTTAAAGCTTGCAAAGCTCTTCTTTGTTGAGAGATTTTAATATGTAGTTGATGGTGAGATGTGAATCAAAGTGCAAAGGAAGCTTTAGGGCCCTTTTAAAAAATAAGTACAGGAAGCGCACCTCATGCAAAGGACAAATAACACAAGGGGCACTGGCCTCTGTGGCAGGCAGGAACCAAGGTTACCTTCATCCATTCCTGAGGGCGGCACCAAGCACCACAGACAGACGGGGTCAGGCTCAGTCCTCCTCCCAACGAAGGCAGTCTTTGTTCTCTCATCACCAACTCGTTCCCAGTTATTCTGGAGTTCAGTGGGCGCAGCGATTCTTCTGACTGAAAACCATGTCACTACATCCTTCAACACGTGTCTGGTCGTAACACAGGTACGGCATTCCATAAGACTGCACTACTGCATTTACTTAACTGCTCTTAACTTCAAGTGGAAAGCATGGGAACTACGTGCTTCGAGGGAATGACTATGTCCCTAGTTATTTATATTTGCTGTTTAAATGTCCTGCATTTACCCGACAATGAGATTCTTTGAGGAATGCGAAATCCACAGTCTTTCAGATCTTAATACTCCTGATTCCCCACCCTTCTCCCAAATTGAGCCCAGTCCTAGGTACTTAGAACACACTGGCAGGACACTGGATACAATAACCGAGGCATCTCAGGTTGGGACTTATATGTAAAGATGATGGTCCCAAAACTCCATTTGCAACATACTGAGCACTTTAGGAGTGAAACAGGGAAGTGTGAAAGGAATAACTGTTTTCAAAGTCATTGCTAATAACCACAGTGCTTGCTGGATAAGGCTGAGTAATAGAGGGGTAGCCATAGCTGACTTGGGGGGGGTATACTTGATCGGTGACAAAAACCTGTGTGCTGATTCCTGCAGGGTATATACCCTCCCTTGCATGCTGCTCCCCATCAGCCTGACATTACAGGAAACCACCCCTTCTCCACTTTTCTAAATGACAGCCAGAAGTGGTCCATCTCCCAGTGCTTGAATTCACCCAGAGCATACGCCATCAGTGAACCCCAAAATACACACAACTGGGACCGGCATTAAGGGGGCAGAGGTGCGGCTGGGTCTTGCCAGGGAGATGTGGTGATGTGAAGACAGCTGCTGTGATCACATTTCTTCTTGGACTGATGCTTGATTTCTTCAAAGCACTATGCCGAAGCAGTGACAGGTCGTTGACCATGGGAAAGTGTAATAACGCCAAGTGTAAAAACGCAAACGTCGTCCTAGCACCCTGCTCCTTGGATCTGCCGGCACGTCCCAGATTCTGCTGAAATCTACCTTATGGTGTGGCGTAAGGGGAAAACGAGGCATCCCGCGGCAGGATACATGGAAGTGATTATAGTTCCTGGTATTTGACGTCCTTAGGGGACCAGGGTGAAACAAAGTGACTTCCTGGACAGACTAACCTAAGTCACAGACTGAAGATGATGGGGAGGCAAGGCACAGAGCAGAAGCCAGAGCCCAAAGAAGAAGCCTTCGACACTCAGCCCAGCACACACAGCCACCTTGGAAGAGGTAAAATGAGTCACCAAGGGCCACATGACTCCTTCTTAAGGCTCCACAAAGCCCCTCAGTTGTCCAGCTCTAGACCTGGACCCCAAAAAGCAGCACACAGAAGCACCCTGTATCATGTCACAAACTATAGCTAGTCACTGACGCGCCCAGGATCCCAGGAGACCAGAACTGCCACCCCACACATCTATATCACAAGACGAATAAAGTGCCCACACGCTCACCCCGTCTGCTTTGCTGATCATTCCATGAGGATTTCTTTATTGGATAGCCTGCCACCTTTTCTAGGCAGGTGGTTAAACTGTGAATATGAACAACTAGAGAAGGAGAAGGTGAGAAGGAACCCTATTTTAAAAAAGAAGAGTGTCAAACTCAAATTAGACAAATGAAAGAGGCAAGAAGGAATGATAAGTGCATTGCCTGGGAAAGGAGACTGAAACAGGAGTATCTGAGGGGCTAAGAGTGTGGACCCTGTAGTGTTTGTACAAACCCCTGCTCTGCAAATGACTTGCTGTGTGACCTTGGACAAGTCACCTAAACTGTGTAAGCTGCCTCAATTCCCCCATCTATCAATTATACATAATAATACTCATAGAACCTTAAGGAAAGCGTTACTGTCAGTATTAAACGCCTTCATATATGAACAGTGCCTGACACAGCAACTATCCATGAATCTGGGGCCCTCGTCCAGGATGCTATTCTCACAGGGGCCATGTTGCCAGGTAACAAAATGATCCCAGTACCGTGTCTGGGGAAAGGACTTATGCACACTACAACTGAAAAGGTTCACACGTACGTGAATTTAACTTAAACCTGAAGAAACTTAAGGGCTAGAAATTTCAAAACTTCAAGAGCCAATGAATAGGAAAGATTCTCAATCCCAAAGGGATTTTGTTTTTTGTTTTTTTACTGAAAAAGGAGTCAAGCCTGACTTTCCAAAAGGCCGCAATGAACACTGGAGTCGCAGGTCTGACCCCCAAAGCCCACCCTCCTCCTACCCTGCCGCAGGGGTGTCGCTGAAGGACAGACCGTGCTCGGCTCTCCCTCTGTGCACAGCCGTTTTCTTTCCTATTAAAAAAACAACAACAAACGTATTTAGGAAAGGACTGCCCTGATGCGGGAAGTTAACCACACTTCAGTGGAATCGAATACTTACCGGTAACTTCCTGTGATATATGAGGGTTACCTGAATCCCAAACAATTCAAAGCTTTCTTGGAAAGCCATGAACTGAGCCTTTAAATTTAAACTAACTTAAAAGCATTTTGATCTTGTTCAACTTTTCTCTCCAATTCACACTTGGATTATCTCTACAATGTAGGTGATGTTTACATGATAATGAACTCAATAGGCACACGGACATAAGATGTTCAGTTTGAGTACAGTAAACCTGTTACTAATGGCTTTTCTCTAAAATTCAACCCATTGGACAATGCATTATGGTTTATAACTTATTCTGTAATTTAAGTGAATGAAAGTTTCTCCCTCTCCCGGAAAGATGGCCCTATTCCCAGCAACATTATAGCCCATGGGACATGATGACGCCTCACCTGACTTAACTCCGCAGCGCACGAAATGCGAAGTCAAATGGAGGCTAAAGAGCTGAATGCAGAGGGGCCTGGATGTCCAAAGCTGAACCTGGAAAGAAACGTTGAGGGCAGAACAGTTGACTTGGGAAGCCAATGGAGCACTTTGGAACAAGGCTCATTCTAAAGGCTTCCATGATGTCAGGCTAATTTGCATAAATATGTACATGATAAGATTGTTAGGATGGAGCCAGCACAAGAGAGCACAGAGCTTCTAAAAGCCTGAGATGGGTGGGCGTGTTGTTCTGACCACACCTGACAGATTTCAACCTTTTTAACTTTACCAGGAAAATGCATCAAAGCAGTTACAGCAATTCCTCCAATTTCTGATAAGGGGGGAAAATAGGATTACCTGAACTGAATTGTGCCCAGAAATCTTGTCAAATGGAGAGGCCTGTTATTTTAGATTAACTTTCAGTTTTCTAATTACATTTATGTGAAACTGTAGAGCAAAAATTTAATATACCCTTTGACTTCTTTTTGAAAGAATAGGTCTTAGAATGTCAATTTCCAAATTAATATGTGTGGAAGGAATGACAGCCCAAATTTTAAATGAACACACTTCTTTCCGTTAACTATTTGCAACACTATGAGGAGAAAAAAAATGAAGCAAAGAAATAGTCATGTATCCAAAGATTTTGTTAAAAATACTTCGCAAATAAACGTAGGTCACGCTTTGACATAACCTAAAAGGCTCCCAAAATGTTTTACATGCCCCAAACATAACAAATCATATATTTCAAATCACTCTTATCAAAGTGGCCAGACCCTTAAAACCAGGATCTGAATGTGATCAATTACAGAATGCTCTAATTTTGATCTATCATTATACATGCAACCAATGAACACAGGAAAGGGTTAACATGGCAGGCCTGAGACTACTAGCCTATGAGACTATTTCCTTCTGGAAGTCTGGAATTTTGGTATGTGCCTATGTGACCAGTCCAACGCACCATCTGTTTTTTTTATATTGAGCTGCCAAATTATATAGGCAACCTTAATTCCCCCCAAGTTTCAAATTGCATTTTAACAACCGCAATTAAACATAATACATATCTATGTTATAACTATTAGATGTTCTGAGTTATAATTCTCCTTACTGTCACATTTTTAAATCAGTGAATTGGAACTGTCAATAAATGAGGTTACATCTATAGAGCATAAACTCACAGCTTAGTAACTACTTCTGACTTAGAAACAAATGGCAAGCGGGTTTTTAAGCAAAACACTGCAGTCTCCTGGCCTGGCAAGTCTTTGGGGAAGTGAAACGGGAGAAGGGGGAGGGGAGAGGAGGAGCGGGTACCCTTCTCCCAAAAAAGAAAAAGTACATTTGTTTCCTAAACTTGTTACCAGTGATGCGAAACTTCTTTTCAGGTATTAAGCTGTTATTCTAAGTTCAAATATCTGATATCTTACTTTCAGTTAATGGCGTTACTATCAAGTTCCAGCAAGCACTCATATTCTTCCGTTACGAATACTTCACGCAATTGTCTTTACTTGGACGCCCCAGGACAAAGCATACACGTGCTGCTATCTCTAAACTGACTAAAGTAATTCTGCACGTACAATTAGAAAACGGGGGATTTTCTCTTAACTATAACCACTGGTTTTTATGATCACATTCTCTTTTCTAATACTTCCAAACGCATACTTCCGCTCATGCCTGCTGCCAGGAACATGTCCCCACTATCAATCTTTTGTTGGGCTCTTTTTCATGGGAACAAACCATGCTCAGGGCCCTCGGAGAATTCATTGCAGCTTCTGAGACTAAAAATTATGGTTGGTAAGGAAATGATGAGTCAACTGTACAAAGATGAATTACATGGGCATTCATCATAGCTGACATATAATGAGAGGTAAAAAATGTTTAACATGCCAATTTCTTAATTTACTACAAAAAACATACCATCGATGTAACCAGAGCACTTGTTTCCACATGCAGACCATATTCTTTTTCTGTAGCAAATTATAATCAATCATAAAATTGCTTAATTGGCACAGATTCTGAACAGGTGGCATAAGCAGATAAAATAACGCTCAGTAACATCAAAGAGACTCCGACACTGAAGAAGTCTATACACCAAAAGTTTAACAGTGGTTTTAGTTGAATGATGGGATTATTGTTTATCTTGACTATATTCTTTATATCCTTGTGTTACCTCAATTGGTTATAAAAAGTACTTCCTTATAACCAGGAAAAATAGCACTTCCATTCTGAAAGAAACTAGGAAAAATAACCAGTCGTTAAAATTAAAAAAAAAAAAAGATATAATTAATTGTGGCTACATATGGCATAAAATACCATAAGAAATATTGTGATCCACATAATGAAAATTATGATTATTAGGACACAAAAAGACGAATAAATGTCTCTACAAGGGGAGAAGAAATGTGGTCAACATGTTCATTCTGACCAAAATGAAATTACAAATCAAATGCCATTACAATATCCCCAAGTGAATTTTTTTTGACAAAGCAGAATTTTACAAAGACATTCTTAAATTCAAGGTAATGATAAATTGGAGAACAGTAACTAAGTAAATATTGAGAAAGAATAAACAAAGAACTTCACTATAAACAAGTAGGGAACAGACCAGGAGTCAGCAATGCAGCCAATGGGTAAAGCTGGCTGCGGACAGATTTTGCTTTCATTAGCTATGGCTGATTCTCCAAGTGAATAGTTCCAACAGTGACTGTGTGGCCCACAAGGCTAAAGGATTTACTGTGCACTTTCACAGAAAATGTTTGGCAACCCTTGCAACAAACTTTAAGTCTCTTCTCTAAAGGAGTTCATGAAGGCCAAGAGAAGGCCAATTTTTGAGGTGCTCCAATCTAGGAGGACCCGTAAGCAGAACCTAGAAGGTAGAGAGAGAAATAAAGGTTGGGGAAGCCACAGTTAATAGCAAAAGAAGCATGAACAGTGGTTAAGGAGCTTTAAAAACACTGAGGCCCAGAGCCATTCTGACCAATGACAGGAACAACAAACCCCTATCTTCCACATTGTTCTACATATTTACATCTGATAAACCCTATTAATGAGGAAGGATGAATGATTCACTTCTTGAGATCAAAGAGCCAAATTAGTATAGAACTTTGTATCAGGTATATAGTTGCAGGAAACAGACCCTCAGCAGAAATATGAAACATCTGGAATTGTTAGGGGGTGACTGTGGAGTGAAAATCACACACGATCCCCTCCACATACCAGGATGTAACGTTTTTTTAAAGTGCAGCTTCTGCTGTGGCAAAGCCACACTTGCCTTTGTGACTCATACAAGCATCCATTTGGGGTAAAACTCTGAGGCAGCTGTGGCTGTATTATAGCAACTTCAAAGAAATGAGGAAAGCAGGGTTTGACAGTCGTTTCTCTTCTCACCGCTTTCTAAAGACCACCACCCTTGTCCATTATCCCAGCGATAGCGCAGCTCTTGGTGATAACGTTATGTTTCACATCTTCTCCACTGAGCAGTTGCTGGGATCAATGCACACATCGCCCACAGCCTATGACAAGTCTAAAAAGCACTGCACAAAAAAAGATGAACTAAGCCAATTAGATTCTCACTCTTTGGAATCTGAATAAAAACAATGAGGACTAGGTAATTAGCAGTGAAAGCTGAAGCTAAAAAACCCTCACCAAAGACAGGGTAATGGCAAAACCAGTCATAAGGGAGCAAATACTATGAGGAAGATGAGTGAGGAAGGCAATAAAGCAGAGACAAAAGGGAATTAATTAAGACATGTGATGCACAGCATGATGTGGACAGTTAATATGGGATCAACTACTGAAATTTTACTGAGAGTACATTTCAAATGCTTGCATAAAAAAAAATAACTAGGTGAGAAGAGAACTGACTTATCAGTGGTATGCAAATTACTTTGAGCTAAAGGCAATTTTACCTTCAGGCTCAAGGGAAATTTCTGGCTGTCCCTTTAACTACCTAGAAGTTGAATTAGGGCCCTGAGCCATAATAAGAGATCATCAGCACCACCTGTGTTAGACCCACCTATAGGCAGGGCAAACTGACAGTCACCAACCACCTGCTCTGCAGGGGGGGTCTCTGACTCTCATATGTGGGAGGTTCCTCTATGTATGTATTAAATCTGCTTATTTTCTCTTGCGAATCTCTCTCATGCCTAATTGATTATTAGATCAGCCAGAAGAAGCTTCGGGGTACAAGAAAGTTTGTTCCTCCCCCACATTAGTAATCATTTCACTATGTACATCAAATCATCATGTCGTATACCTTATATACAAATTTTTTAAATGATCAAGTTAGTGGATGATACAAACCCATTGCCAACTTTCCCAGATGTCTTGGAACCACTTCCAATCCTCAAACCATTTTCCTCAGAGAGGAAACAGAACTTTCTTTTCTTTATTTTTTTAAATTTTCTTTATTCAAATATAGACTTAAAAAATTTTTATTTTAGAATTTTCTTTATTTGGACTCTTAGGAGATCCTAGTAAGAAATACAATTACACTGGACCAAAGATATGCATATACACGATCAGAGCTGAAACAAAAATCTCACAAAGCCAGTTGGAGGCTAGTATGTTAGTATTTACATTCTGTCTTTATTTGTTCCTAATGTACTCTATTCTAATCTCCACAACTGCTTTTAAAACTGTGACCTAGTTTTAAATACTGTCCAGGGGAAACTGCCAACTCTCCTACCACATGGGAAAAACTTAACACTACAAATGTGCCAAAATCACAAAGTAGAAACTATGAGGTTGTAAAAGCATTTATAACTACACTGTGTGTGCCTGTACCATTAAAATAATTTAAAAATCAGGTTCCTTGTAGAGAGATGGAAATCCTGTCAATATTTCAGCCTTTGGATGAAAGATGCACGTTCTAGGGGATTGCAATCCCAAACACTCTTGTTTTTATTTGAAGAGCAGAGAAATCTCTTTTCCAACATCTCTATCAGAAGTAGATAAACGAAAGAAAAGCCAAAAACAAAACAGAAAGAGAAAATCCAAAGCAGCATTTCAAGGAAAAGCAAGAAAATAAATAAATGAGAAGCATCTTACACATTTACCCGATCTGCACTCTGCAGACATTGGCAATTGCAACCCCTGACATCAAGTATGAAGAAGCCTATTGTTAATCGATGCATTAGAAGCTAGAAGAAACCAACCCAAGGCCAAAACACGCAAGTTATGAATAAGGAAAAAACAAGTGTTCAGTCGCTAGGAGGTAGAGGAAGACAGGAAGACGGAGTATGGGGAAAGCAGCTGGTAGTAGAAGCAAGAAAATATCACGCAGAAAGCCAGGGACTACCCTACCCAATCTGGCTATTGTCACCTGTGCTCTCAGCTTATTCTTGTAGTTAGGGAAGCTCTATGCCCCCGACTGCTCTGAAGCAGTTACAGAAGACGTATCCTTGTCCCAATTTTCAAAGATTTTTCATTGCTGATCAGAGATGGCGGAACGTTAAGACAGGGGATTGTAATGCTGGCACTATATATCTTCTACTTTGAGATTTGGATCTCTGGTATAATTTAACAAGTGCAATTTAGCTTGGGACTTTTTACAAGTGTTTCCTTTCTTTTCATTGCCTCCTTTCCGCCAGGCCTTAATGATGCTGCTTCCTATCCATTTACTATGCATGCCAGTTTCAATGCTTCTATTTACTTCCGCCCAGTGCTGGCCCAGTGACTTGAGAGAGATTTTGCATCTGTATGGGATCTGCTCCTAGCTCCAAGTTAAATCTACATAACAAATGCAAAGGTGGTGATAACCGGCTTAACTGCACCTTCCCCCATCCCAACTGACAAGCTGAACTCAACAGAAAATTCCACTACAGGCCGAAGCAATTTACATCCTGGTTTGAAAATATAAAAGTTAAGACCAAACAGAGACTCGAGGCAGTAGTCTCCCGCAGACTCTGCCCAGCCAACCCTCTTACTTTAATAAATCTTCCTTCTGTGTTTCTACCTGACTTGTGAATGCTTTCATGGCCTGAGAGCAAGAAGACACAACACTTATAACTGTGAAATATGGACAAAAACAAGTCATCAGTAGCAGAGACTGGAGATGAAAAGTGCTCTAAGACATCATGAAGGGAGATGAGGAAAGCCACTGTGACAAAGCAGTGACTAAGCAGGAGTTGTAAGAGTAAAATGTCACAACTCCAGCCCATGGGCCAATTCCAGCTATCATGCTTTGTTTCCTTTACGTTTAGCGATTTATTATAAAACACAGAATAAGGGCTCCAGATGAACAATCAGGTGGAGAGATACATCACGTGAGGTATGGAGGGGAGACATGAAACTCGCATGGACTCTGGGTTCAACCCCCCAGCACCTCTGTTTTCAGCAACCCAGAAGCTCTCTGAACCCCATCCTTTGGGGATTTTTATGGAGGCTTCCACGTGTAGGTAGGATTGATCATTAACTCAGCCTCCAGTCCCTCTCCTCTTCTCAAAAGATGGGGGATCAGGCTGCAAGTCCCTAGCTCTACTCATGGCTTAGTGTCTCTGGTGAGCAGCCCCCATAGAGAAGCCATCCAGGCTGAACCCACTAAGAGTTGCCTCATTAGAACAAAAGATGCTCCCATCACCCAGGAAATTCCAAGGGATTTTAGAGTCCTGTGTCAGCAACCAGGGGTCAAACACTAAATACTAGAACAAAAGATGTGCCTAGCACTCTTATCACTTAGGAAATTACAAGGGTTTTAGGAGTGCTGTGCCAGGAACTGGGAGCAGATATGTATATATATTTCTATTGTTTTACAGGCTGAGATAACAAAGCTTCACAAATTAGGCGTCTTAAAACTAGTGTCTGTCTCCATCTTCACATGGTCATCTTCTTATGTCTCTGTGTCCAAATTTCCCTCTTGTATAAGGACACAGTCATGTTGGATTAGGACCCACCCTATCCAATCATCTATTGATGGGCACTTAGGTTGTTTCCATATCTTGGCTACTGTGAATAGGGCTGCAGTAAACATAGGGGTGCATATATGTTTTTGAATTACTGTTTTGGACTTCTTTGGATAAATACCAGAAGTGGAATGCTGGGTCATAAAGCAGTTCTATTTTTAATTTTTTGAGGTACCTCCATACTGATTTCCATAGTGGCTGCACCAGCCTGCAGTCCCACCAGCAGTGCACCAGGGTTCCCTTTTCCCCACAGCCTCGCCAGCACTTGTTGTTTGTTGATTTATTGATGATTGCAATTCTGACCGGAGTGAGGTGGTATCTCATTGTGGTTTTAATTTGCATTTCCATGATGATTAATGATGTTGAGCATCTTTTCATGTCTATTGGCCATCTGTGTGTCCTCTTTGGAAAAATATCTATTTGGGTCCTCTGCCCATTTTATAATTGGATTGTTTACTTTTTGGTGTTAAGTTGTATAATTTCCTTATACATTTTGGATAGTAACCACTTACTGGATGTATCATTGGCAAATATATTCTCCCATTCAATAGTTGTCTTTTCGTTTTGTTGATGGTTTCCGTTGGTGTGCAACAACTTTTTAGTTAGCTGTAGCCCCATTTGTTTATTTTTCTTAAGTTTCCCTTGCCGAGGAGACACATCAGAAAAAGTATTACTAACAGCAATGCACAGAATGAACTCTTTTTGTTTGCTGTAGAAGAAAGCAAACTGTCCAACATAAACATAATGCAGAAGAATGAGGTAATAATAAAAGGTGAGAAGACAGAGATAAACCAATGGGAGAGAAAGAAGTTGCAGTCCATCCAAAGTGGTCAACTCTACAAGTTAGAGGGGCCTACACATCGCTCTTGCCATCTGTCTCCCTTTGACAATGAACTCTTCACATATGACCCTATGTTCTGGAAGAAGACAGTGACAACAACCCCACGAGGAGGCAGGAAGTCCCAATGACTAAGGCTTTTCGTATAGTGAGGTAGCTAAGATCTCTGTAATGTGACACACACTGACTGTGTTGTGTTGATGACATCACCTGTCTGATCTTCACTTTTATTACCTGTAAAGTAAGAACAAATTCTACTTCCCAGAGTTACTGTTAAGATGAGGTAACAAATTTGTACAAAGCACTTGACTAGAACAGAAAAGACACCTATAAGTGATAAGCACTACTATTAATATTGGGCTGTCAGAAAGTCATGACATATTTTTCTATGTTTTTCGTTGCAAAAACGCGTCGCGACTTCTCTGACTACCCGATATAATATAACCTTTTAAAGGAAATTTTCAAAAGTTGTGTGTGGGTGCTAGATGACTAGCCTAAAGAAAAAGAAAAAGAAAAAGAAAAACAACAGATCTGCTGTCCCAAAAGGAGAGGAGGATGAAAAAAAACTGGGGCTCAGTGAGCAAAAGCCACTGACCACCTACCAAGACTTCACAATGGTTTCACAACCACGTGCACGATGCTGATTTGAGCCTCTCCTAATTGTCTCGTAACCTCGCTGGGGCAGGCAGGGCTCAATGTACGTCTTCACCAGTGGAATGGCTTCTAATCGCAATTATTGTCACCTGTAGGATTGGGAGAAGGAAGAAGGCACAACGTGAGACAGAACAGTCAAGGTTTGACTTTTACCTCATTACCACATTCGTCAAGTCACATTTCACTCTTGCTAAGCATTATTATTGGCGTCACAATCATGTTCTTTATCTGGCAAGAGCTGTTGTACCGCCTGCAGTTATTACTTAATAAGGATTCTTGCCTCCATTTTAAATGAGATAAGTTGGGTAGAGAGTCACTGAGTAGCTATACCAAAGTGTTAGAACTCAGATATAAACTCCGATGCTGACCTGCCTGCAAGTTATTCCCCTCTTTCAACCTCAATATCCTGATCTTTGAATGGGGGTATACTTGATCTGTTAGGGGCCCTTCTATGTGTGGCAGTTATGACCCTCCATTCCATACTCCTGACTCAAATGGGAATCAAACCTCCATGTAGTCAACACACGGCACTTGATTCACACTGAAGAGGAAGGTAACAAAACCCTGGTCTCTGGACCAAAACTTGTCATTTATTGTCATTTATAATCTCAACTGCCACCAGCACTCACCTTGCCCATGTATGAAAAGGAACTGAACAGATCTGTTCCCTTAGCAGTTGCCTGTGTTACCAAAAGGATCACAAGGAGCTAGGTAGTAGGCCCATGGCTAGCCCCCTACCTCGAAGACTCAACCACTAGGAGGAATGGCACTCAGAGCTGACACACACAGGACAAGCCAAAGACCCCCAAGGGTCCTTTTTTTCTAAGGAACTGGCCTACTACCTCCAAGTTTCTAGGTTCCTAACTGCTTAGCATGAAAAGCAATTGCCAGAACTCTGGCAATTCAGCGATGGCCCAAAGCCCAGGCAATAAATTATGATAATTTGATGCTGGCAGCACCAGTTAGTGCAACTAGGTTTCCTGTTACTCAGTGAGATGCAGGCAACCCTCCAACCCCAGGCAGCCCCAAGGAGCAGTTTCTCAGGGCTCATTCTAAACTAGTTCACCACCAGCAGCAGAAAGTTATGTCTTCTAATCTACTAGTGATCCGAGACCTACGCAGAAAGCTCTCCCACCATAGATGGGGGCAGGGGCAGGGGCAGGAGCCTTGATGAGTTTGAGCCATCTCTTTATTGGATAAAGTAAAGCAGCCATGACTAGAGCAAGATCTGCACACCCACAAGCAACTGTTGACACTAGTCATTATTTAGCTTACTACAGCCCAGTGGGACAACAGTGGGAATGTGTGCAGGGTTTCGGTGGGCAATAAATGTAAGTGAAATGCTAAGGAACCAAGAACAGAGTAGTTGGTACTTCCTGCCTTCCTCTGATGACAGCGATCTGATTTCCACCACTCCCTTCTCCCACCCCAGCCAGCTCTTTTCCAAACTAAACTGCTCCAGTTTCCCACTCCCTCGCCACCCCATTTATTCCACTTCTGTTCAGGTCAACAAATTTCAAAATGGAAATAGTTTCAATGTTTGTCTAACTTTGAAAGTCATAAAGACATTTTTTTAAGTTCCAGAAATACGTTAAGGATAGAAAGTAAAATTCACAGAATCCCAGAAAGTTTAACACTTTAAAAAATTTTTTTATTAGTTTCAGGTTTACAAAACAATGCAATAGTTATGCTTTCCACCCCTCACAAAGTGACAGCCCTCCTCCCCCAATGCACCCTCCCACCCCCGATATCATACATATCTATTACAATTCCATTGACTCCACTCCCCACCCTGTACTCCACATCCCGTGACTATATATATATATATATATATATATATATATATATTCAATTATAGTTGACATATACTATTATTCAACGGCAGCTTTAGATGTACAGCACAGTGGTCAGGCCTCTACACCGTCCATGATGCGGTCTCCTTAACAAGACATGAGTCCACCTGGCCCCCTAAAAAATCTTTACAACATTATCGATCATATTCCCCAGACTGTCTTTCCTATCCCTGTGGAAATATTGAAGTTACCAACTTATGTTGTCATGTCCCTTCCCCTTCTCCCTCATCCCCACCCCCTCCCATCTAGCAGCCATCAGTTTTTCCTCTGTGTTTCTGAGACTATTTCTTTGAGGCATCTTCTTTCAACTACTTTCATGTGCCTGTTCAAACATGAATTTTTATTTCACAAAAATTAGATGAAATCATAGAACTGCTCTGTTGCCTTTTCTTTCAATTAATATACTGGGTATATGTTTCCAAGTCAAATATTCATCTACCAGACTATTTTTCTTTTTAATGTCTATGCTGTATTATTACATGAATACACCAAAATGTATTTATCCAAATTCCTACTTGTGAAAAGGTTAAGTTTTTCCATTTTTCACTGCTATCAGCATTGTGAACATTCCCATACTTAAGACTTTTAGAACATTTCTCTAGAATTTATTTAGAATAGTTAAATTCATTTAGAATATTTGGGGGTACATTCCTAGAAATGAAATTGCTAGGGCAAAGGACATGCAATATTTATTCTGCCCACTAATATATACTGCCAAACAGCCCCTAACAAAGAGTTACACTAAAATTGGACATACCCCACCAACAGGAGCATGACATTTTAAAATCTTTGCCCATGTGATAGGTATCACATGCAATAGTGAATTTTTTATGAATGTAAACATTTATTACTAAAAGACTTACAAAGATGAATAAGATACAGCCTCTGCCCTTGAGCTTAAATGAAGGGAGATAGACACAAACAGGTAACATTTACCATTATTACGTTCATGACAATGATAAATAAGATTTGAGTTCGTAGTGGTTACTCATTAACTCTACAGCTATTGTTAACAAAAAAGGTCGAAAAGAATATTATTAGACAGTAGTCCAAATTAAAAATCCACTTGCAAAAATTCCAAGGAATTGTGTTAATGCAGAGTATCATCTCAGTGGCATTTCAATGTGATTTGGTTGTAAAGAGCCAAGTGGAAGCCTCTCAGAAAACCACCTGCCCCCCAAGCCAGTGAAGTGAATGAAGAGCAGGAGTCGCTGACAACGGACCTGGACTTCCATCTTTCCTTCTCCTACCATTTCCAGTAAACAACAGTCAGCTGCAGCCATTTTCTTTCGGAAAGAAAATGGCTTCTCCCCTGGGATTCTCATTTCCAAGCAGATCTGCTTATACATAGTTATGCTGCAATGGTATCATGCCAACTTGGAAAACACGTACAGATAAGAACCGAAAGAAATTATTTTTCAGCACCATGATGGGTCAGATACAAACAAGATCAAAATGGATGACAACACAAGTACTTTATTAGATAAATATGCAATAAAGCAAATACAGCAACCTAGGTGCAATGGGTAGGTGGGTTTTAACTGTACAATCCTTTAAAATTTTCTGTATGCGTGTTTGAAGTTTTGCATAATAGAATGCTGGGAAAAATCTAGTAAGAGCTTCAAAAATAATGCTGCAAGACCTTTCCCTCCCTCTATTTTACCCCAAGAATGAGCCTATCTGATAGTCTCTCCATATTGGTTTTTTTAGATCTAGCTTTCTTGCATCAGACTTGCAGCTCTCTCTCTCTCTCTCTCTCTCTCTCTCTCTCTCTCTCTCACTGTCTCTTAAATGTATACACATTTTTTAAAAAAGAACTTTATTGGGGAACAGTGTGTTTTTCCAGAACCTGTCAGCTCCAAGTCAAGTAGTTGTTTCAATCTAGTTGTGGAGGGCGCATCTCAGTGGCCCATGTGGGGATCGAACCGGCAACCTTGGTGTTATGAGCACTGCGCTGTGGTTACAACCAACTGAACTCTTTTTAATGAAGTGAAATGAGTCACAATATACTGACAGGCGGGTTACCAAGAGAATGTGTGGCAGGTTAGGGAAGGTAAGAGGGAGGGCCCTCGGCTCTTGATAGTCCAGGCTCACTCCTGTATAAGTCTGAATAAGTATCTATTTCAGAAACCCCTAGCGGGTGACCAGTTAGCTCAGTTGGTTAGAGCGCCATGCTGAGAACACCAAGGTTGCCAGTTTGATCCCTGCACAGGCCACTGTGAAAGAAACCCCATTTCTTTGTTTAAAAATTAGCACTCAGACCCTCTAAACATTTGCCTCAGCCTACCTTTCTGCCTTATCTCACATTAATTTCTTATTTTCCACATTGCCATTTCAAAGAGCTGTGTAGAATGGAGCGTGGCAAGGAATAAGGCACCAAGGCAATGAAATGTCCACGTGCTTGAAGTTAGGACATAACAAAAGGAATTTCTAGAGTTGAGCTCAAAACTTAAAGTTGAAAGACACAGTATAACTGGCTGACTGTAGACCCTAGGGGAGGGCTTATACTCTCCTACTTTGAAGTGTATCCTAGCTGACCCCTCTGTAAAATAGGAAAAAGACGTATCATAAGCAATAATGAATGAGGTAAATAAATGAGTTTCTGAGATGCTACAAGTGTCTCTGATGAATGGAGAGGGGAATGGAACCAACACGGTTGAATGATGAGCCAAAACAGCGTAGGCAATCCTTTTCTGGAAAGGGCCAGGTATTGCGGGCCATCATGTTTGATGCAGCCACTTAACTCTGGTGGTGCAGGCCACAGACAAAACATCAACAAACGAGCGCGGCTGTGTTCCAATTGAACTTCATTTGCAAAACCAGGCAGTCCACGGGCTGTAGTTAACCACCCCTGGTTTAGAATGCACAGCCCTACCTAGGAATACCATTCGGAGGATGGGTCCCTGACTGGATGGGGGAGAGCAGCCTACATTTTTGTGTCCTGTCTAAGTTGGTTTCTCATTAGGGACAAAATGTTGCCATGTCTTTTCCCCACACCCATAGCCAAGGAACACCAGTGCTGTGCAGAACTCAAGAATGGTTTCCTTTTAGATAGAAAGAAATGGCTATCTATTTAGAGGACAGACAAATGTTATCTCAAATTGGCTACCAAGAATCTGACATGTACCCCACTCAGCAGCTGTCTTTGGCATCACAAAAATATCTTCAGACTCAATGGCAACAAACATAAACCAGGAGTGTAATGTGCAACAAATGACAGGTGGTAATAGATCCTTATACAGAACACATAATACAGAGCTCTTACAAAGAGATAACATTCATACTTAAATTGCATAGTCCACAAAAGGAAATGAGCTAATAATTAACATTTGAGAGTCCAGCCTCGCCAATAAGAGAAACATATTGTAAAACAAAGATGCCGTTCTCTTACATATAAAGTTAGCAAAAAATATAAATAAAAAATTTAAGTACCTAAATGACTGGGTACAAAAGTTGACATGATTTTTTGGAACTCTATTATGGCAAGTCTTTATGATGTTCAAACTTTTTGATGAATAATTCTAATTCTCCAACTCTATTTTATAAAGAAATAACTCAAAATGGATAAACAACAAAAACTAAATGAAAAGACATACATTCCATAATTTTAAATATTGAAAATCTTAAAATACCTCCATACAACAAAACTTTATGAAACCATTAAATGACAATTACAAAGAATAGTTAACATTCAGAAATTCATGTTTTAATGTTAAACACAAAACACGATATAAACAGTACAAATGTATGAGCAACTGTAGAAAATGAAGAGAGAATGAAAAGAAGTTAACACATTTATTAACACTGGTTATCTCTGGGTGGTGAAATATGGACTTTCCCCCATACTTGATGGTTACTCTCAGACAAAACTGCAATGAATATTTACCAAGTTTCTAGATTGAGGGAACTATGCAATGTAAACACTGGAAGAAAAGTCACAAAAGATAGAGATTTGATCACATGATTTCAAGTCTCTACTAACCAAAAATTTAAAAACAAAAATTAAAAGGCAAACAATAAGCTGTAGCATATATTTAAAACCTTACAGAAATCTGAGTAATAGCCTTTATTTACAGAACACATTCAAATAGATAATAATAAATGCTAAACCAAAACTCCAACAGATAAATCAATCTAAGACATGAGCTATCATCACATGAAGGAAAATAAAACTGCTAAGAAATATACAGGAGAAAAGGAATCCAAACTCACTAATAACCAAAGAAATGCAAAAGTAAGATAATACTGGTTTTTATCCATAAAATAATTTTTTAAAACAAACACTACTCAATGATTGTGTGAGTAAAACTTGGTACAGTCTTTTGTGAAGAAATGTGAGAATACATGTTGAGTGTTAAAAATGTTCATACCCTTTGATGTAGTAATTCTACTCCAATATCTATCCTAACCAAATAATAAAAGAAATGCAGGTATTTCAGTCTTGTTGTATAAGGGGGGAAAAGCAAATAACCTTTCCTTTGGCATTAGACATTTGTATTAACACACCAAAATATTACTAATGGGTTAAGAAAAAAAATCTCTCCTGAAGCAAATGACTGGTTGTCTCAAAGCATTAGACCAGATCTCAGATCAGGCAAAACAAGAAGGGTGTGTCCAGCCTGCCACAGTCGGCCATCTTAAACCCTCTGCAGAACAAAAAGCACAGAAGACAAGGGTAGATGAGGGTGGCCACCCCACTAGGCTCCAAATCAACAATTCTTTCCTTTTTGTCTTCTCTGTCTGCAGAAGACAAATGCACTGATTAAAAAGCAGCAAACTGGTCTCCTTTCTAAAACAGCACATGCAAGTTACAAACAAAATTTGAAAAAATAAAGGAAGGGTCCTTTATATTTGCCCCTTCATTTTAGGGGAGTAAAGCATAATGTTTCAGAGCACAGGATTCTGGAGCCATGCTACCTGGATAAAAGTGCATTTTCAGTCATTCAACTGGATGGAAAGCCTTGGACAAATTACTCCATCTGTGTCCCTCAAAAGATGAACAATGGTGTTGTTACTCCCTAAGATTGTCCAGAGTACTAAACGAGTGAACACATGTGTAAAAGCACATAGTTTAAGTGCTGTACACGTTTGTGCATAATTATTATTAGATAGGGAAAGAGGCCTAGAGAAGGCCAAAGACCAGCAGATCACAGCTAGGATTACTGGAAAAGACCTGTTTTAACTTGGAATCCTGTGTCCTTTGTATTACATACCTAAGTGCTAAATCATTAGTTTTAGCGATTAACAACTGATCCTCACTGATAGCCCTCTGAGAGACATGACAGCACGGGTGCCTAAAAACAAAAACCATCTATCTCCCTAGACGAAACCGTGCTCAAAGTTTTCAAGAAAAAAATCATTTTAGAGGATAGGGTGTGAACCCAGGTCACCTTCATACCACCAATTACCATTTGCCCAAATCCTAGGTTTGAAGCAAAGTGTAACAAGCATTTGGAAGGACAGCCGAATCTTCACCCCAATATTCTCAAGGGGAGAAAATCAAGGGCTTCTGACAAACAGAACAGTAGATCCTCACAATATTGCGACTATACTGTCTGTGTTCTGCTATTCTGATGGGATAAGAGAGTGTGTCCAGAGCCAAGTTCAGCGACGCAAGGTCTGCAAGTCCGACAGAGGGCCCTCAGAATGTGGCCGGTTTCCAAGTGCTCCGATTTTCCGCATTTCCTATCCACAGCCAGCTGCCGAAACCTATAGTCACGATCGCCTCCGCATTTTTAAACCCACAGTATCCATAGTCTAGCGAGAGGCTAAGAGTCTGGGTTAATTTCTGGTGGATCTGGCCACAGCCTACGGCAACTCCAATTTAGGCTAATCCCTTCGTTCAACTAGAAAGGTAGATCTGCTTCGCGGCAGGTCCTCCTAGCCCAAGATGGCCAAGCAAGTACAACTTACCTACCCCCTCGCCATTTCGCAATCTGAATTACGCGTGAGCGGCTCGCGG